TTCGTCATGCCCGCCTGGTCGGGACGGAAGAACAGCCTGGCGTTGTTGAGCAGAGAAAAGATATGAATTAAATGAATAAAAAGATATGTAAAAGATGGACATCAGGTGCAGGCACCTGTTCATGTTGGCGATCTCGACCTTGTCGTAATCGAACATGATAAGCTTGCCAATGCCGCAGCGGGTCAGCATTTCGGCGGCAACGCTGCCCACACCACCCATGCCGACCACGATCACGCTGAAATCGCGAATGCGGGCATAGTTCTCGACGATGCCCATCCTCTTGAGGGCCATGAGCCGGCTGTAGGGGTTGGAATCGATCACCTCAGCAGACATCTCCTCGATCTTCTTCCTGCGGCCTCCCTGCGCTCCTGCAGTCGTCAGCGCATCCTCCAATTGCGCCTTGAGCGATGCGACTTGAGCCTCCAATTGTGAGATTTGCTGCTTCTGTTGTTCGATTTGATTCGATTCCATGGCGATGCTTCCTTGCTGTGTCCTGGGTGCAAAGTGCAAGCGAGCGAGGTGGCTTCAAGGCTGACGTCAGCCGAAGGAAAGAAGTCAAAAACAAGAAGAAACGAAAATAAATTCAGGCAGCGGAATCAGAAGAATTCTAGAATTGAAGATGAATAGGAGCATGATGATGCAACGAAGGGCGGTGAGCAGCGCCGCGAGCCGGACGATTTTGGCCCGGCCCGTGGTGGGCCACGCTGGCGCTCTTCCGCTTTTGTCGCAGCAGCGTAGAGGATACGCTAAGCCCGGAGGCAGGGGCGGTGCCGTTGAGCGACCCAAGAAAGAATGTACGCCATCTATCAAGATCGTGTTGCGACTGCAAAGAGATTGGGGGGAGGGGGATTTACACCGCTTACTAGACAAATTTGTTTGATTTTTAATCATTTAACGGTCAATTTATCATCCAATGACAGACAAGGGCGATCAGTACATTGACGAGATGCTGGTGGCCTACGGCCTGCAGGTGCCCACGTGGGACGACATCCCCGAGTGGGTGTGGAAGGCTGAAGTGGGCACGTTCTCGTCTTTTAATTTCGTGCTTGTTTTGTTTTGTGTTTGTTTTCAATTTTGTTATTTTTTTTTTTTTGAGGCACTCGTACTGTCTACCTTCGCTTACCAAACTGTTGGGCGCAGATTTGAAGAAGCCAAAGGAGCTGACGCCTCTCGACGGCCCGCTGTTCTGGAAGAAGATCAACAGGGAGCGCATCAAGCAGTTCAACGAGGACCGCACCTGGGGTGTTGTCAAGGGCAAGTGGAAGCTTGGCGAGTAAGCTGCCCTTTCCCTTCTTCTCTGGTACTGCTCTGTGTTTGTCAAAAGAGCACTGTTGCCCGGTCAGTTACCGTGTTGGTTGTTCTTTTGGTGCTGGCGGGGAACTGTAAAAGTTGTGTTCCCTGTTAGCCCCGCCCGTTTCGCCAGGCGATAACTATCAACAGCTACCATCTACCAAGCGTTAATTGCGATTGGCTAGCAAGAATCTGGAATTTTTGTTGTGTGTTTAAAGCCCGCGCGTGTTATCGTTGGCGGACTTTTAACAGCGAATGAGGGATGACGGCAGATATCCCCGTTACATAACGCACTCCCAGCAACCCCAAAGGTGAGATCCCACAGCAGCACGGGTGCCTCGCCCATTGGTCATATCTCTCGCTGGTTGAGCCACATCAAATTAACCGCCCAATGGGCGACTGATGAGTGTTATCACCACGCGAAGTTTCGCCACACGTGGCAGAGCCCAGGTACAGGAAAGCAGCGAAAGGAGAAATAGGGAGTGGCCGGCGGAGAGAAGGCAAGAGGCCCATCTACCCAAGCTTTCTGACATTCCCCCTAGTGGCCGCCTCTCTCCGCGGCAGCCACCAAGCATTGCAGCAAGGCAGAGCGCCCTTCGCGCCCTGACACTCCCGCAGGGGTCACAAGTCGCCGGTGCCACCGCTCGCCGGCTGCATGCGCCCAACGATCGACCTGATTGAACGCTACCACCAAAACCCCACCTCCCCCAGCTCTTCTTTACAGCCCCAACAGCCAGGTCGGTGAGTCGCTTCAACACAGCCCAGCACTACCAGCGCACCGCCTCCCGACACGGCTCTAACAAAGGCCAACAGACAGCAGACACAACACAACAACACACGAGACCAGCGACAGAGATTTCAGAGCCGGAAGAAGATGATGGCACCCATCTTCATCAAGAGCAAGGAAGAAGCGCTCCCCGACGTCAAAAACTGGTACGCCCGCATCCCTAGTGTCACCGCTCTAGGTCTGTTGGTCGATGTGTTGGTGTGGTGTTGATGCACGTTCAAGGCGGAGGTGTTAATGCTGCCTCGAATCCATCCGTCCATATTTTATTTTCCATCTTGTTGTTCTTGTGTTGTTGTCGTTCGAGATGTTGTCGGCCTCTCTTCTCACAAAGAACGACATATCCATCTCCCTATCTATCTTACTCCCTGACCCCTATCCACACAAGTATCTCTTCGTTCTTTTTCTTTTTCGGTTCGCGCTCCCACCTGGTCGCACACCAATACGAACAGAGGGCAGAGCGCGGCCCATTCTGGAGCGAGAACCTCACATCATCCGCTTCTTTCTTGCTACTCGATGGGGAGCTCTTGTTCTCAGCTCCCCATCCATTCCTATCTGCTTGGGCTGGGCCACATCCCTCCTTGGTAACTGAACTAATGTACATCTCATTCGTTTTGTCGTTCGTTGTCATCACCATCACTGCATCTATCTACCACACATCAACACCCGCGACACCATCAACATCCAACAACACAGGCTCCTTAGCGCATTCCGAGAGAAGAAGGGCTACTTCGTGCCCAAGAAGGATGTCTTTGGCGCCTACGCTGACTTCTGCGCCCAGCACCACTATGAATCCACCACCCCGGCCTCCTTTGGTAAGTTCCTCAAGAAGGTACCACCACCTCACCATCACATCCCCATCTTCCTTCGCATCTTTCTTTTACGCGACATCTTGTCACACATTTCTCCCCAAGGCGAACAAAGTTATATTATAACCAAATTAAAATAGCGGGAGCTTTTGTCCTTTCTTGTATTTGCCCGGCTGGCCAAAAACCGGGTCTATTCGAGCTTGTCCCACCTGGTTTCCCATTATTTGAATCCCCCCAATCAGCGAGCACCCCGATTCCTGTTTTTTATGTCACTTCTTCGCGCATGTGCCACACGCTTGCGGCCTCTCTTAGTTAACCCCCCTTTGGTTTGTGCCTCGTGTTGTGCTGTGGGCACACAGATATTCCCTGGGGTGGAGACCAGGCGGCTGATCCGCAACAACGAGCAGGCCATGTACTACTACAACCTCACCTCGACAGCCGCCCCGGCCTCCTCGCGCCGGTGGACCAGCGTGCAGTCCTCCTCCACGGCGCCCATCCCCTCGACTGGTCTGTCTTCATCTACGCCGGCGCACTCTATCTACGCCTCTTCTTCATCGTCTTCATCGTCTTCATCGTCACCGCAGGGCGCCCGGCGCCGCCGGACGTCTTCGCTCGAGTCTCAGCAGCCGACCGAGCCGCGCTTCCACCACCCACAGGCCCAGAGGCCGCAGCTGGTCGACCATCACCACGCGGCCCAACAGCAGCAGCGCCTGTGTCGCTCGGCCTCGCCGTCGCACGCGATGTTCGGCGAGTTCGCCACCGCCGCGGCCCACACACACCACCACGCGCCGTCGTCCACGCTTCCGGCCCCGCCCACCTTCCAGTCGCCCATGCCCTCGCCCTCGCCCTCGTTGTCGTCGTCGTGGTCGGCCGACGCTCGCCGCATACGCAGTCTGTCGCCGACACGGCCGCGCCGAGGCGGGGACGATGAAGAACAGGGATACGAGGGCCATCGGCTGAGCAGCAGCGGAGAGGCGCCGCACCACATCGACGACCTGGTGGTGGCCAGCATGCGGCGCATTAAAGAGGAGCGCCAGCTGCCGAGCCAC